CAACTTTCCTAGGTGAGTATGCGGTGTACATCATTCTGGATTGCTTTTCCCGAGCTCTGAGGGGTCTGAAGTTCGACCCTGCGTGCCTGCCACAGTCCCATGCGTGCTCACAGAGCCCAGCAACCTACCCGGCCAGAGAAAAAGGAGAATCTCCTTACACATAGCAGTGAGGTAGCCCCGTTCTTGTGCCAGATCCCTGAGCCCGGTTCCACAGGGTGACGTGCGGTGGTCAGGTGACATCTGTGTGCACACCGGGCGGCGTCCCAGAGAAGGCGCAGTGAGCTAGGGACCCACCTCTGTAATAAGGCAGTAAGGACACCGGCCCTTGGCTCACAGGGAGACGGCATCTCCGTCCTCCAGGGCCCAGAGCAGGCTCGCCCTCTGCTCCGGAGGCAGACACTCTTCCCAACATGTTTCCTACACACAGGAACAAGGGCAGACAGGGCCCCCTTGCCAGACAAGCCCACCATGAGGGTCCCTGTGTCCCAACATGGCAACGTGTCTGTCACATCCAGGACACTGTGCTGTGACCCGGCAATCCTCCCCGATAGGAAGTTTCTTCTGTGCCGGTCACCTGAAGACGGGCCCTGACTTCTAAAGACGTGGCTTAGTCACATCTTGCTGTAGAGCAATAGTGCCAGTGACCTGGTGACAGTCACATTCGAGACTACCTGACAGCTTCACAGTCGGGAGCAGGCACGGCGTACGCAGTTCCTGACTCGGGCCTCACCAAACCTGGGCTTCGGCTGAGATTGTGGCCTCCTCTGAGGGTGCAGGAGGGAGGGAGACACTCCGATCTCACTCCAGTTGTGGGCAGGATCCGGGTCCTGCCATTGTAGGGCTGAGGGCGGGGTTTCTTGCTGGCTGTGGGTTGGAGGCCGCTGTCAGCTCAGAGGTCACAGGTAGCTCCTTGCCCTGAGGGGCTCCCCAGCATGGCCACTTACTACTTAGCCCACAGGGAGAGGGCCAGAGGCCCCAGCAAATGGGCACTGCAGTCTGTGAGGGAAGCATATGGCCATGTCTGCCCATCCCTTGGACATGGCTATCCCGCTGTCCTCAGAGGTGTTCATGGACGGGGCTCCATGGGGTCAGGATGACCAGGGTGGGTGTTAGGGTATCTTACCAGGAGCCACCATTTGGGGTGTGTGAGGAGCAGGTGGGCACGAGGTATTCGTGGACTTAGAAGCTCGAGAGAAGTGGCCATTGGGTGATCGTTTGGACAATCTGACTGGGTCGCCTCTGTCCCACAGCTTCCCATTTTCTGATCCATGCCCGGAAGTCAGCAAGTGGAGCAGGGTCCCAGGACAGCAGGCACTCACTGTGACATTTCCCTAAAGGTCTTCGGCGGGGACCCCAGCGTCACATTCCATTGAACCACGGAGGAGAGGTGTGTTCTCCTGAGATCTAGGGCAGCATCTTTGATTCCTGGGGGCTTTCTCCAGGTCACACTCTAACACCCACAAGAACTGTCCCTGAGCCGGGCCTTCATGGACTTCCTCCCCCTGCCCTGTTCACAGATGAAGACCCAGGCTCAGTGCAGCCCACCCAGGCCCCTGAAGCCACCCCAGGGAGGTTCCCGTGCCCTTGGAGGGCAGTGGATGAGGCCTTGCTGCCCGAGCTCCTGTCCCCAGGGTTGCCCAGGACATGTCCTTCCACATGGGTGTCAGTGTGACTGCAACTCTGGGCAGACCCAGGTCCTTAGTTTCAGTTAAAGAAAATAACTGTGATAAAATACACTTAACACAAAACAGACCACCTTAACCATTTCCAAGTCTCCAGTTCACTGGTATGAGTACTCACACGCTGTGCACCGTCCCCACCCTCCTCCAGGACTCTCCGTCTTGCAAAGGTGAACACGAACTCCCATCCCCCTCCTCCCTTCCCCTGGCAGCCACCCTTCTGCTTCCATCTCTGAATAGGACGACACCAGGGATGGCACGTGAGTGGGGTCATCCCTATTTGTCCTTTGGTGACGGGTTCCCTTTCCTTAGCTTAGTGTCTCTCCTCAGGGTCCATGCATTTGGTGGGAGCACGTGACAGAACGATACTGTGGGAGCAGGTAGTTTTACGCTGGGGAGGGTGGAGGGGCTGGCAGCTGCCTCCCCACCGCCCCATTGGCCCCGCCCTTGGAGGCTGAGGTTTTCTCCCGAGGGAGGCAGATGTCACCGGGCAGATCACCACCGTGCTCTGGGAACCAGGAACAGACCTCCAGCTGCGCCTGGGAGGTGAGGCCCTCATCCGGGCCCACAGCCAGCCCTGCAGCCTCCACTCAGCAACAAGTCCACTGGTTCAAATATTTGCCACATGTTTGTATAATTGTAAACAAAAGTTGATTACTAGACTCACAGGAGTCATTCAACTATCTCAGCCCAGGGCCTTCTCTGCGGCAGGAGCAGCCGGTGAATGGACCCGAGAGTCTCCTCCTGGCCTCTGCTGTTCCCTCCGAGCCTCCTGGGCAGTGTCTGCTCCCCTTCTTGGCTCCCAGGCTGGGGCAGGTTCTGTCTTCAGCTCAGTGCTCCTGCTGCCCCCATGAAGGCTTGGCTGACCCTGACCATCACCTCCACCCCCCCCCCAGGAAGCCCCAACTCTCTAGAAGTCCCCAGGATCCTGAGAAGTTCTGGCCTCAAACCATGACAGGCTCGCACAGACCTATGGGCTGCCCCAGCCCTTCACATGGGTGATGTGAGGCCAGGGCAGGAGGGGACGTTTGCAAGGCCTTCCTAAGTGTCACTCACTCCTCCTTCATCGTGTGTATGGAGGGCTTCCTACCTTCGGTCAGGGCTAGTCCCCACCCTCAGGCGCTTACAGACGCTGGGAGAACCTTCAGACTGATTTACATCGTGTACACACCGCCCTTGTGATGTGCCAGGTGTCCCCACCATTTTTCAAACATTAATTCTTTTTTTTTTTATCCTCACCCAAGGACATTTTTTGATATTTTGTTCAGATAGAGTGAGAAGAAGAGAGAGAGAGAGAGAGAGAGTAACATCGACATGAAAGGGACACATCGAGTGGTACACGACCGAACCAGGACCGGGGACAAACTGCAACCGAGGTACATACCCTTAGTGGGAACCGAACCCGGCTCTCTCTGGACCACAGGTTGACGCTCTCACCGCTGAGCCAAACCGGCTAGGGTCAAACATTAATTCTTTAACACTCTCCATAACCTCAGGGAGGGTATTTTTTATTATTGCCGAGTGTCCGATGGGGAAACGGAGGCACAAACAACACTGCTCTCTAACCTTGCACCTGTAAGTACAGACATGAACACCATAGAATTTCTGTGGATCAGCATCTGGGCAGGTTTGGCTGGTGCCTCTGCCTCAAGGTGTCCATGAAGCAGGAGATGTGTTTCAGCTGAGGCTCGACGGACAGGTTTCCCCTCGAGGTCACTCGCCTGGTTTCCGTCAGGACGCAGTGGGGCCCGAGAGCCCGCGTTCCTGCCTGTTGGCTGGGCTCCCCCTCGGCTCGCTCCTATGGGGCATCTGCATAGGGCGGCGCAGAGCATGGGCGCAGCTCTGCCCGGTCCAGAGATATGACAGAGACAGAGTCAGACACACCCACAGAAAATGAAATAGAGGCTGAGAAAGGAGGGGACTCGAGAATGAGAGGACGAGAGAAGTGACAGCCCTGACATCCCTCACCTGGGCTGATTCTCAGCTGTTCAGAAGCAGTTACTAGGCACTCGGCGGACACACAAGGGTGTTCCCACCAGGAGGCGGATCACTAGAGCCTCTGTGAAGGCCCCACAACATGGCCAACATGAGGCACTTGGTCTGATTCCTGGTTTAACAAGACACCACTGGAAGGTTTTAGGCCAGTGAATGACAATATCTGAATTTCCTGTATTTTTCATTCTCTTAGAGTTGCAGACCTAAAATGAGGCCAAGGTGGGCAGTGACTTCCCCAAGACCCCATGCTGGCCCCCAGGCCTGTTTAGATTGGGGTTTTGTGCTACATCCACTCATTCTTGTCACCCTTCCACCTCTACGTTTGTGCATCAGATTCATGGGACGCCTGCCCACAGGTGTTAGAGGCTTATGTCCTCCACACCTGATGACGTCCTTAGGAAATGGGGTCTAGCATCACCTCACTGTGCAGGTGGGGAGACCGGGGAGGCTCCTAGAGAAACAAAGGCTTCCCCAGGGCACAGAACTGATAAGAAAAGGGAGGTGTGAACTCAGCGTTCTCCAAGCCGGGGACCTGGGACAGTCCCAGGAGCTGTGGGGAGGCTGTGGTAGGTTATGGTGTACAGGTGTGGAGATGACCTGGGGGAGAAGGCCGAGCGGCCAACAGCCCAGAGGGGGCTTTAAGTGGCTCTGATTGGAGGAAGGGGCCCGGGTCACGGAACCTTGAAGGAGTGACCTCACTTCCTTGGTGACAGATCCCCAACTGAAATTAGGAGTGGTAACCAGGCACCCTCATTCTAGAGACAACCTGCCATACAGTTCAGTTGACTGGAGACAGTCAGGAGACTAGGATGTTTCTCTGTTGCTTCCCGAGCTCCCGAGGCTCTGGGCTAAAGAAAACCCGGAGTGAGGGATGTTTCTCTTGCTGTAGAAACTGGCGCAGGCGCCACCGCCGACAGCCCTCGTCCTCTGGCACGAGGCAGCCTCAGGTACCCGAGGGCAGCCCAGGACAGGCCCATCCAGGCCAGGTCCCTACTGGGGTCCCACCCCGGCAGCCCCACCCCTCTTACCCGTCCTCCTGGGTATGTATGGTTGTCAGGGGTGGTGCGGGAGAGCGTGGGATGAGGGGCGCTCGTCCTGGGCAGGAGCAGGTTGTTAGTGTCGGAAGCCTGGCGGGTCTGTCATGTTCATGGCCCAGGTCACGGCTGGCAGGAAGGGAAGGCGAGTGCTGGGGCCAAGTCTGTCTGCCCACTTGTTAATTGGGGTCAAGGTGTCACCTTGTTCCCTCCTGCCTGGAGGTCTCTGCAGAAACCCCTCTGTGCCCGATCCGCGGAGAAGAATTTGTCGTGGGCATCTCCCCCCGTGGGAATGGCCATGCAGGCCCCTGACCCTCCCGGCCTGTCTTTGCAGAGGCCCGCCCCAGAGACCGTGCAGGAGCTGGCTGACGGGTTCACTTACGCCTTCAACCGGTACCAGACAGGAGGGCACCAGGCCAGGAAGCCCGTCCAGAGCCGGTCTGAGGTAGGGTTGGCCCACACCCAGGACCCTAAGGGCCTTAAAGGTTTCACAGGCCCGCTCCCAAAGAAGTCTGTGCCTCCAACCCTCCTGAACAGGTTCCTGGGGGGTAGAAATACAGTCTTTACGTATTTGTTGGAGTTGAAGAGAAAAAACTGATGTCTTTGCGTTTTGCTGGTTTTCATTGTTTAACTAGCTGCCTCGGGTATTCTGTGGGGCAGTCGGCTGGACTGTCCTTGCAGACCGTGTCCAAGCCTTACACACCCTCACACTTGATAATGTTTCATAGCAAAGGGAAATGGGGGGGATTAGGGATTGGATACATGTTTCTGCAACTTGTCATCTCACAGAGCAAGTAGGAGGTGGGCCAGGTCTGGAGTGTGGCCTTGTTCATCTCCATATCAGCCCAGGAAGGATGTCGTTTTCCTCAGTGACTCAGCCTTTCAGTGCTGCTGACCTTGACATGATTCGGTTCTGCAGCTAGTTCAGGGGGGCTGCTGGGTTCAGCCTCACTGTGTCCTCACAGACTGTGTCAGTTTGCTAGGTCTTCCACTTCCCAAGACCAGAGGTGGGGGGAAGCTTGCCGATCCTCCTGCCTCAGTACCCGGCTTGGTCTTTGCAGAGCTCCAGCGAGGACATCCTTGAGGTGCTGGCCCGCGGGCCCGACTACACCACCTACCGGGTCAGGGTGCAGGTGCACCGGGCCAACGACGCCGGCCAGTGCGAGTCTGAGGTGAGAGCTGGCCCAGGGCAGTCTCCACACCCAAACCCCCAAGATGCCAGGGAGGGTTAAGAATCCAGACTCAAATCTGGGGACGCCCCGGGGGACCTCCAGGACTTCCCACTGGAGTGTCCACAGTCCTGTGCACCAAGGAACCTGGACCTCCACACCCTCCCTCAGCCACAGGGAGGGTAGAAAGCCACTCCTTACGTACTTGCAGGAACAATAGAGAAAATAGTTGTTTCCTTCCCAGCAGACCAGGAGCACATTTGCATGTTGCTGTTTTGTTGGTGCACTGCAGGCCCAGGGGTCCGGTGCAGGCAGCTCCACTGTCCTTGCAGACCTCCTCCAACACGGAGGGCGTCTGCCACAGCGATGCCCCTCTCAGTGCCGCCGGACCTTGGCCGTGGTGCAGTCCAGGTGCCATGTCAGCAGGGCGGCCGGGGACACCGCGTGTGTCCGAAGGGACTGTGTGAGTTTGCTCGGGCTGCCGTGACGTGGGCCTGCACTGGCTGTGTGAACACAGAGGGTAGAAGGGGGAGGGGAGGGTGTCAGCAGGCTCCTTTCTCCCGCGGGCTGTCTCCTCGGCTCGTAGCTGGCGGCCGTCTTCTATCTGTGTCACATGGACTCCCCTCTGCACTTCCATGTGTCCACCCCTCCTCTTCAAAGGACACCGGTTATATTGGATTAACACCCACACCACTGAATTCAATGTCTTTAGTGACTTGCTTAAAGACTAAAACTAAAATTCAATCACACACTGAAGTTTCAGGGTTCCAAAGTCATGGAATTAGGGTGACACAATCCACACCACAGCATATACCATCCCCCGGAGATGGACACGCAGTGCAGGGGAGGACGTGCACATGTCTGTCCTCACAGCTGCAGGCGGATCCACATCCAGAGGCTGTGGCAGTGAGGTCGCCAACAGCACTTTCTGGTGGTGGCTGCTGCCTTGCTCCCCCCCCCCCGGCCTGGGGGTTTCTCACTCATTGAAATGTTTACCAATCTGACGTCAAGCTGCCCAAGGCAGTCAGTGTTCCGTGATTGGTGATTGCCTCTGGGGTACCTGGACTGTCAGCTTTTCACCAGCCACGTGGATTTGCTTCTTCCCGTGTCACCTGCTCAGATCCCGGCCTGGTGGTCGGCTTTCTCCAGCCTGGAGTCTCCAGGCATCGGCCCCTTCGTAAAATCTGGGATCTCCATAATGAGAGTCTCAAAACACACTTTAATGTAAAAGGAGGAGAAATAAGTGTCTTTTGTGAAGTCAGTGGTTTTCCTAGGTGTGTGAATTCTGTACACTCTCTCTAAACCGGGGAGGAACAAGGTTCCCAGACTCTCTCCCTCCATGTCAGGACAGATAAGTCTCAGGTAGCTGAGAGGGAGCATCATGCAGGACAGTTCTCAGTTCTGACCTGTATGACCTTGAGCAGCCATCTGACATCCTAAGCCTCTGGGTTCACATCTCCATGGTGGGCATGTCTGCTGAGGACTCATGGGGACAATGTCCTTCACACAGACTATTAATACAGGAGGTCTGATGTTCCTCAGCTAAAAACACACCTAGGTCATAATTATATAAACAATGCCCCATCCGCCAAACTTAAATAGTCCTTTTAATTTTATTTTTTATCCTCACTCGAGGACATTTTTGCATTTATCTTCAGATAGAGCGGGAAGGAGAGGGGGGAAGAGAGAGAAACATCAATGTGAGAGAGACACATTGACTGGTTGCCACCCACCCAACCCTAAATGGGGCCGGGGACAAACTGCAACTGATGTACGTGCCCTTAGTGGAAACCAAACCTGGGACTCTCTGGTCCACGGGCCGATGCTCAACTGCTGAACCAAAGTGGCCAGGGCTTAAATGGTCCTTTTAGAACATAGAATATCACTGGGCATGGGCACCCCTGTCCCTCCTCTTGCACATGTCCTGCGGGCTGGCAGTTCCAGGGTGAGCTCCAGACCTCCATACTCCTGGGTTCATGGTGATGTCGCTGACTGGATGTCCCTCCTTGTCCCACCCAGAGTGCAGCCGAGTTAACTCTTAACCTCCGTGAAGCCTGCAGGATGCGTGCCCTCCAGGAAGGCACACGGGCAAAGATGGTGGTGTCCATGGTACCAGCTTTCCCGAGTGGAAAAATTCCCCACATCCCCACCTTCATGTCCATCCACCCGGCCTTCTCCAGAGCCCAGCTGTTCCTGGACCAGCTGTTAACTAGGTGAGCACACGCCCCCTAGTGGTGACTCAGCCCACTGCTAGCCCTGTGTCCTGAAAATGTCACATCTCTCTGAGCCTCGATTTGCTCCTTGGTTTGCTCCTCTGAAAAGCGGGTGATAGAGGATAAACCTTGAGGGGTTCTTGCAGGGACTACTGTGGGGACAAGCCATGGCAGGTCTGACCTGCTGCCTGGCAATCTAGAAAGGGCTGCTGGGCGTGTGTGGCTGTTCTCGGCACTTATTTCTCTCTCCCCGTGAGAAGTGCCCTGACTCACCCATTGGCGGCCTGCGGCATCTGAGTTTGGAAAAGCACATGGGAAAATGTCTGTCAAGCAGTTTGAGATTCCACCTGGCTGGTCCTTGTCCTGGTCCTTGGTGTAGCCAGATTAGGGATGTCTGGGGACAGCAGGGGCCCCAGGCCCACTCAGACGTCCGGATGGTTCTGGTTGGAGTTCATTGACTGGACAATGTGCATTGAGCTCCTACTGCCAGCAGGCACTTTGGAGACACTTAGCCTGACTCAGGGAATAAAGCAGACACAGTGCCCGGGCCTCAGTCTAGTCAGCGTGTCAGACTGTGACACTAGATGTCATTCGCAGGTGCTGCCCACCATCCATCAGATCTGATGCCATCCAGGTGTTCTCTACATCTGGAAATATGCAGCCATATAACGACCAGGGTGACACACCCCAGGATCAATTGAAAAAGTGAGTGGTCTTTGGGTCCAGAAGGAGGCCTCCTGTGTCAACAGGATGAGGGGCTGCGGGTGGACAGGGGCTGGCAGAACCCTGATCTTACACGTCTGCTGATTCCCAAGGGAGGGCTGAGGTCTGGTGGCTTCCACTCCAGGAGGACAGGGTCAGAGAGCACTGTGGGTGGGCTTCCTGGCCTCTTATAACCAGAGGGGAGGCTGGGTGAGCTGTCCCCAGGAGTCCCATCCCCATCACCGACCATCCTGGGCTGCCTGCTTTCTCTGCACCCACTCCCCTGACCACCATCGCCAGGCCCAGAACAGGACGTGGGGAGCAGGCTGCTCACACCCTGTCTCAGTCCTCAGTCCAGGTGTCCAGTGCTCAGAGGGCTGGGTGGGCAGTGCACAGGCCTCCAGGACAGTTCTCGGGGGGAAGAGGAGAGTCTCACAGACTCCGTGTTAGCCTGCTCGGTCACCAGGCCTGTGACTCCCAGGACAGCCGCAGGGGCCAGGAATGGCATGGGGCTGACCCCTGGATGGGCCGGGCAGGCACAGAGGCCCATTCCCAAACCAGGGTGCCAAGGGAGGGCCATGTGGGAGGAGAGACCAGGACTCTGATCCCGCTGCCCTCCTGCCTCCCCCAGGGCCGTAGCTTCTGTGATGGGAGCCTGGCCGGACCAGGTGCAGGGTATCGGCCCACCACTACGCTTCCCCGGGTGCGAGGTGCAGCAGGCCTTGGTGCAAGTCAGCGTTCTTGCCTCACACCAGGTGGGCTCTGCCCACGTCCTCTGGGTCAAGCTGGAGCATCTAGAACCCACTGAGGCAAAGCCAGCAGGTGAGGGGCCTGCAGTCTGGGAAGATGACCTGGGCAAGGGGAGGCTCAGGGGCGGGGTCACCTAAGGGCAGTGGCATCTGTCCTGTCTCTGGAAAGGCCCTGGGAAGCCAGGCATGTGCCTGACCCTGTCTCTCCACCTGCTCCAGAGCCCGAGGAGCGGCCTGCTCCAGGGAGCACACAGGATCCAGCGAGAGGCCCCGCCCCGGCCTGGCCTGGCCTGAGGCGGTACCTGGAGCCGCTGTGGAGGCGGCTGCTCTCTGCTTCCCAAGCCCTGAGTCTCGCTGTCTTAGGAGTCCTGAGCAATTATCCTAAATAAATGAGGACTGCACCCAGCAATATATTTATGATAGCAAAAAACTGTAATTTCCTACAATACCAGGCTGTTTATATAAGTATATTCCATTAAATTATATACTCTGTAACAAATAGAAATAAAGTTTATTAAAAATATGTGTGGACAATACCTACTCATGTACATGCACATAATCCATTGTACACATGTACACGCTAGATGTAGAAGCGTGCTCACTCTGCAGTACACTTTCTTTTAATCCTCACCCGAGGACATTTTTCCATTTTGGTTCAGATAGAGTGGGAGGCAGAAAGAGAGAGAGGGAGAAAAAAACATTGATGTGAAAGGGACACATCGAGTGGCTGCCACCCGCACGACCCAACCAGGGCCGAGGACAAACTGAAACCAAGGTACGTACCATTAGCAGGAACCGAACCGGGTCTCTCCGGACCGCAGGCCAACGCTCTAACCGCTGAGCCAAACAAGCCAGGGATGCAGTACACTATTAACAACTTCTTTTTTTAAATTATTATTAATTAATTTTTGTTACAGATGTTTCTCCTTTTTCCCACACTGATCCCCCCCCCCTTCCCTGCCCTGTCCCCAGTTTGTTGTCCATGTCCACTGTTCATGCATACATGCATATAAGTTCTGTGGTTTATCTCTCCCCCACCACCCCCTCTTCTGGGGATTGTCAGTCTGTACCCCACTTCTACGTCTCTTGTACTACCCCATTCCTCAGACTGTTCTGTTCATTATATTCCACAAATAAGTGAGATCATGTGATACTTGTCTTTCTCTGTTTGGCTTGTTTCGCTTAGGATAATACTTTCCAGGTCCCTCCATGTTGTCTCAAAGGATAAGAGATCTTTCTTTCTTACAGCTGCATAGTACTCCATTGTGTATATGTACCCGAGTTTTGGGTGGAGAGCTTCTGGATTTCTGTCAAGACAAGCCTAGGACAGAAAACGCAGAATGCCCATCACGTTCTAGTTTGTTTTATTTATTTACTGTTTGGTTAAACATAACCCAATCCTCATCCAGAGGTGTTTGATTTTCATTGATTTTTTTAAGAGAGAGTGGAAGGGGTGGGCAGGAGAGAGAAACATCGCTGTGTCCCCATCGATTGGCTCCCTCGTGACTCCTGCTCACTGATGCCCCACAATGGGGACCCCTATTCTGCCTTTGCTTTAGTTTTGTCTGAACCCTCTTCTGTCTGGCTCTGCCATCAGCGCAGTCCCTCGTGCTGCTGCACATAGCTCTGGCTCTTCCCTTTTCACTGATGTCTAATATTCTACTGTATGCTTCCCCTGAATAGACGTATGAATTCCCCCCTGGACGGACACTCAGGCTGTCCCCAGTTTGGGGTATTACGAACAAAGCTATTGTGAACATTTTCATTCACAGGCATGGGCACTGGCTGTATTTGTGGGAATAAAACTGGTGGGTCATAGTCCATACAAAGGGTTAGCTCTAGTAGCTGGTGCCAAACAATTTCCCAGCTCGGTGGCACCCATCACCACTCCCCCGGCGACGCCCGGGAATCCCACCGCTCTGCAAATGGAGTGTTTACACTTCGAACTGCAGGCGGTGCCCTAAAGAAAACGCTGCCGTCCTGCAGTCAGACGCACCGCCGTCTTCTCCCGTCCTGTGCGTCTGGCTGATCAGATATTTATCTGAAATTCAAGAGGGGAACTAAATTACTGTAGAAACAAATAAACAGATCAACTGTGGCACAGGATGACAGGCTCTCGTTCATGGGTGATGGCTCCCCTGGTAAAATAGAGGGTGCCAACACGTGTGTGGAGCAGGCTGCCCCAGCCTAACTGTCCTCCCTGCTTCGGTGGCCTTTGTGCCTACAGAAAGGGACGGTGCTGAGCTCCTGCACTTAGCCTTTAGCAAGCGGCCTGCGGGGCCTGGGACCCTTGAAGAAAGCTCAGATTCTCCCGTCACCCTGAAGCACAGATCACCTGCGCGATGGCTGGGCGGTCCTGCCCCGCTGACCTTGCACAGTGGCCTGCCCACTTCTCTGCTGTCACACTGCTCCAGCCGGGCCTCTCCGCCAGGCATGACCCAGTTCCTCAATCCAACCAACACGGGCATTTGCATGTTCCTATAACAGGACCTTCGGAGACTGCTTGGAGTCCCATGCTGGGGAGGTGGCCCCATCCACGGGGACAGTCACAGTCGGCGTACTTCTTCAACACCTCAGCCTTCCCCAATATTCTAACGCGGAATCTCTGCAGATGGTTTTCACAAACATCTCAAATCCTTCTTAACACTTTTAAAACACATGTGTCTAATGGAAAAGTTACTCACCTTAATGGCCTTAAAGCGTTCCAGTCCGTGCTGTAAACTGTTGCAGCAGGTGTTACAGTTGCAGTTGTTGCAGAAATCCCCACTGGCAAAGCAGTCACAGTGCCTGTGAAGACAGCCACGTGGTGTCACAGTCAGCACGGAGTGAGTGTGACGCCGAGCAGGCCAGCAGGTGCGTCCACACAGCTCCTACTGAGAGACAGGACGCTGTCCTGCGTGACTCACCCGGAAAGGAGACACTACCTCACACCGTTTGTTTGCAAAGCAAAGCAGTTTCCCTGAAGTGTCCGCTGACGCCCACTGTCCCCTGCCCCCGAGCCCACTGCCCTTGTCCCAGAACACAGCAGGGTGGGGTGGAAACGTCACAGAATAAAGAGCCATCTTCCTATCAACTGTCCCGGCCCCGGTGGGGAGTGAAGGCTGATGGGACCTGGCGGTGGCACCGGGTCTCAGCTCTGTCTTCCTGTTTCTCCCAGTCCGTGTGCAGGGAGAGGCAAGTGGGACACCCGTGTGACCCGGCTGTGTCACTCAGCTACAGCGCAGGTGCTTCTTGAACTCGGCTTGCCCCATGCTCTGCTCTGCTGGTGGCACCTGCCCACAGTCCCCCAGCAGAGCAGCGGGACCTTGCGCGATGGGTCTTCCTGGAGAGTCATCAGTGTTCTGCCAGTAACTACGCCGCATGCTGAGTGACAGGCGCCGGCAGGCTGTGCTTCACATTTTTTTCAGAGTGAGCAGGGACACGGCACTTTCCTCAGCTCGTGAAGACTCAGTGTTGGGGCCAGGACTCCTGCTGCCCACGGACAGCCCACCCCGACGGAGGCCTCTGCGTGGCCTCTGCCACGGGAGAAGACCCGGGGGCTCCAGGGGAAGCG